CTCTCTGTGGCAACTCCTCTAATGACCCCATCCCATGCAGCTCTTTCCTATCCATCTTCATGTTATAAAGCTGCACATGTAAGCACTTGCTTATGTGTGGTTTCTTCTGCTGCTCAGTTCATAGTCTCTCCAACCTGTTTCTAAAAGGTGGGACCCAAATCCTATGCCCTGTTGGAACTCACCCCTTGCAAGCAATACAGCAGGTACTCAATAAAAAAAATTCCTATCATGCACAAACTTCCCATTGCTTCAGTACTGGTACACTGCTCAGATGGCACTGACTCTGGCTCCAACCTCTCTCTGCCAGTGCTGCTGCACTTAAAGCAAACTAAGACTCTCCTTCAGCTCTGCTTCAGTGAAGTGGGAAACACAGACCACGATGGCCAAAGTGAAACTGCTCTCTCTAGAGACCTCTCTGGAAAGTGACTTCAGGGAGGCTCCATAAAATATCCACTCCAGCAGGCCATCCCTGCAACACCCTTCCTCTGACCTCTGCGTAAAGACAGTGACACTTCTCCCCAACCTCAAGCAGACCCCACTCACATTAATAGGATGTCTTGTGACAAACTGGGCTGCTCGCATGGGCTTCCGGCCAAAGGAGACCCAGAGCTGGACAGAAGACTGCTGTTGACTGCCCAAGAGATGCTGCCAAGGAAGAGGAGAAAAAAAAAATTAATGGTGCCACATTACAGTCATTCAAAAGCAGCAAAAATAAAAATAGAAGAATCAGATTCTTCCAGTTCTACTGGAAACACAAAATAGAGACTGATTGCAAATTCATATTTTTGCAGCGTCTGCCATCACTGGGCAGCTTGGGTTGTACTGCTTCATCTTAGATACCTGGTTTGCAACAGACACTCGATGCTCTGTGGATATTAGATAAGGAAGGAAATGGTATGATGGTAGAACTTGGACTAGAGGAGGTTGTTGGAGGCTGCCAACACTTCAGTAGAGTAAGAGATAGAAAGAGGATTGTGTGATGAGGCTGAAGAAACAGGCAGGGAGGAGCCTACAGCCCCCAAACCACCAAAGGGTGAGATCAGCCACACACCATGCACACAAAACATGTTCTTTTCTTCTTTCTACTCCTATTTTTAGATTACAAGGATGCTGCAGTCACAAGGCTTTAATTTGCACCAAGACTTGAGAGAATATTCATTGATTCTGGTTTTCCATCTCTGAATAATCTCATTGAGGAAGGTCTTTTGCTAGAATATATATTCATTGGTAGAGTATTCAACATGATGTTGACCACATCACATTGCATTTTAGAGACTTTTAAGTCACAGCAAGAATCTTGGAAATGTGTATAAAAGCATCAGATTAAGAGCTAGCTCTACCAACTGAAAAAATGACAAAAATCTCTCTAGCTTTCAGTTTATTCATTACAAAAGGAGAAGCTTATTTGGATCCAGACTTCCCTATAGACGGGTTTAAATGGTCCAGCAACCCTGTAAACATCTACGCAAATTTTTTATATACACTCATTTATTTTGCTATGGAGGCTCCATACGTTTTATCAGATTCTCAAGAAAGTCTACAATTCCAAAAAAGATAAGAACTGTTACAAAGACTCTGTGTGGTTTCTTCCAGCTCTAAAAGAACACGGCCAGAAACTGAAGGCAAATGTTGCATATCTGTCAGGAAAGACACAGGGAGGCACACCCTCATGTGGACATAATCATACAAATGACTATTAAACTTATTGAGATGTTGGGATTCCCAGCCAGAGGGGTTACTTCGGCTTCACTTATCCTTGACTAGGTTGCTGTTTATTATAGATATTAACTTCCTAAAGAGTAAGGAACATACCCATTTATTTTATCTGTAATATAACAACTCAGTACCCTGTGCTCACACATGCCCTATAAATACTGTGAGGACCCAGCTGATAAAGACAAAGTTACTTTTAATCCATTTGAGCAGCAGACATTCAAACCACCACTGAACAAATAGTTAAAAGTAATTTGTTTTAAAGAAATCAGAGAGGTACAAAAGACTGCCCACCAAAATGGAAATCTGAAAACCATATTAATAGCTTGTACTAAACATGGGGCTGTAGGAAATGATGGATCTATAAAAAACGTAAAAGCATTTTAACTGAATGAGAAAACAATTCCCAGCAAAATTGTGACATATAAATTCCAAAAGCCCCCATGAAGCTGATAAAATGTTATGACTATGTCAGATGATTGGTTTCAGTCAGCCTATATACATACATTTTTGTGAACATAGAGAGGAACGTATCAATGAAATACACATTTTTATGGTTTGTTTTTTACTACTTCCAACTGTCAGTAAAACTTTAAAAAGAGTGATTTCTCAATGACACCCAGGCTCATCATTAGTTAAAAATACTTAACAATTGCTGCTGGGAGGCCTGAGTATTAAGAATATATTTCACAGGTCAGTCTTACCTCATAAATGCAAAAATCACAGAATACTACAATCATCGAACCAAAAAAAAATCTCAAAACGCATCGATCCTACTTCCTTCTTGGAGAATTATTCCTAAACCTGGTCAATTCAGGTTCATTCTTAATGCATTTTTAAAGAGTTATTATATTGTTTTACTGCCACCAAGAAATATATTAACAATTAAGCTATGGTACACTAGTGATTGTAAGATGTATTGTAAGGCTCTGAGATTTTTCTTAATAAACCGTAGGTTTTGGGTTGGTTTGTTTTTTATCTCTATTATTATAAAAGCAAATCATACTCATGGAAAACATCCAACAGCACAGATGAGTACAAGGTAAATGCAGAAGCTCTGCTCTGACCTCCACATCCCTCCTCCCACTCTACCCTGCAGAGTGCCCAGTGGCTAACAGCTCTTGTGCATCCTTTTAGAAATACACTGTGCCACCACACACAAGCATACTTACATAGTGACAGACACTGCTACATCTACCCTCAACACCCATTATCCCTTTCCTTCCGAGCACTGGGACCCTGACAACATCCAGGATAAATGACTGCACTTCTCTACCATTTTTGCAGCTATGGCTAGTCACGTGATTAAGTACTAGTCAATAAGATTAAAAACAGAAGTCTTGTGTTGGATTTCTCGGAAGGTTGCTTAAATAGATGGAATTGGTGGGAAGAGGTCCTACTTGCTGTCTTTCCTTATTCTTCCTAACTGCAATAAGGACTTGAAGGCTAGTGTGGACGTCTTGAACCACGAGCTAATCTTGAGAATGGAAATCATTAGTCAGGATGGTAGAATGTTAAGATAGATATCTGGGTTCCCAAGAACATCAGGACACCAACATACCAGCCCAAGACAGCCTACGTCCAGGCAGCGAGGGGGAGAAAACTAAACTCCTGACTTGGTTAAGCAACTTTTCTTTCTAGTCTATTAGCGGCAACCTAACACAATTCTAAACTGACACAGGCAATTTAATTTTTCACATATAATTTGGATCATGATATAAATGCTGTTTTATTACTTAACTTTTTCCATTAACAGTATATCTTACTGTCCCACAATTTAACATTTTATCACTGGCAATGTATCTTAGACATCTTTCCACTTAACAGCTATTGGTAGGCATTTGGGTTATTTCCAAAAACATTTCTTAAACACACACACGCGCACACACATATATATTTATCACTTTTTCAGAACTGCACAATACTGTTGGTAGGATGCATTCTTAGAGAAGAATTCTTAAGTCAAAATTTGTATTTTTGATAGCTATCATGAAATGGCCCTCCTGAAAAGCTGTACCAGCTAACACATCCACAAACACATCAACTACCTTCATCAACTACTAGGAGAGATTTAAATGTTTTAATCTAAGTCAATCCTATAGAGTCTGAGAATTTATAAGAAGTTTTTTTTTTTGTTTGTTGGTTTTCATTTCTGATAATTAAAAATAAATTTGGCCAGGCACAGTGGCTCACGCCTGTAATCCCAGCACTTTGGGAGGCCAAGGCGGGCAGATCACGACGTCAAGAGATCAAGACCATCCTGGCCAATATGGTGAAACCCTGTCTCTACTAAAAATACAAAAATTAGCTAGGCATAGTGGAGTATGCCTATAGTCCCAGCTACTCGGGAGGCTGAGACAGGAGAATCACCTGAACCTGGGAGGTGGAGGTTGCAGTAAGCCGAGATCATGCCACTGCACTCTAGCCTGGCGACAGAGAAAGACTCCATCTCAGAAAAAATAAATAAATAAATAAACAAATAAATTCATCTAGGTATGTGAATAACCTGAATTTCCCTTTATATTTGAGATTGTGTTAAGAGCAAAAAGAAATGGAGGAGGATCAAGAAGAGGAGAAAGGAACTAAATAAAGGATACTCTTATCAAGTAAAGGCCAAAGGATACTGCAATGAGCTATCCCACTGAAAGTTGCATGGCAGCTCAGCTAGAGAAAATGCGTAAAGAACTAAGCCCTCCCAGGGCATGTGGAAGCACGGGGCCACTAGTTCAGAAGCACCAGAGCCATGGGTCACATCCTCCCTTGAAGCAGCAACAAAGCTTCAGCAAAACATCCTCATCCACATTAATGTTTACAAAAAAAAATCATAAATAAAACATAGCTAAAATCCGACATCTGGGATATTCCAGGGGGTAAAAAGGAGTGAGTAGATAGCTAAGGAGAGGTTGGCAAACGTGAGTAAGTAATATTGAAGCTGAATGAGGGCACATGGGGAGGTCATGTCAGCATTAACTGTTCTTGCGTGTAGGTTGGAAAATGCCTATAATAAAGTTTACAAAGTTAATATTAATTGGAAGCATTTCTAGGAACTCTAAAAATATACTTATCCATAAAAGCAAGAAAAACACTGACAAAAATCTTCAAAATCCACTTTTTCACAATTCTGCAAATGAAATAAAGAGTTGCAAAAATTCAAGGCACATTTATTCAAGAACAATGGCTGAATCTTGGCAAAAATAGCCAGCTTTGTGATGTTTTCATTTGCCCTAATCCCATCCCCCTCTCTCTAGCTCTGTGGTAGCCTTGGAAACCCACAGCCTCACATCTACAATAGCTGTGAAAAACAGCAGCCTAGCAGCCACTGGAGAGAATAAAATAGGTCTGGAGTTCCCAAAAAGCCTGACCTGTCTGGGGGCTCACAGGAAAGTGCATTATCAGCACTTGTCCTTATATAGCCTGACTTGGTTCATGATATAGACAGCCTTATAGCCAGCCAAGGTATTTACTGAAAACAGTGAATAAAAACTAGCAAATGCTTATCATCATAACTGCTGAAGACAGTATTACCAATTGGGAATGAAAAGAGGCTAACTAAAAAGCTTAAAAGGAAAAACTGGGGAAGAAGATGCCCTTAGGAGACTTCAATAAGCTCTAGAATATTCCTGGGACTCCACAAAGTCAAGCACATAAGAGCTGTGAGTATGCTCAAGAAAGAAATTAACAGGGTCTAATCTCTTACCTCCAGCTAATCTTGAAGCTCTACATAAGCAGGAAGGGAAGGCTAGGACAGAGTTGTAAACTGCCTGCCAAAGCATTGAAGGTATACCCAAACACACACCTAGAGGCCATTAGCAAAGGCTGAGGGACTTAGTGGTTCAAAGTGTTTAAGAAAATCTCTGTCTTATCATTAGCTGACCAATAAGCTAAATTATGAGATACTTCAGTAGCAATAACAATAAAGAACACAAACTTGA